TCCTTCCCATAAGTGGGCGATCAGAACGGGACACATTACTCCAGAAGTTACCCTGCAGGCTGCTACGAGCCACACATTGGCTGTATCTCATCATTCCTTGGCTGTTTCCGTCCCAGCTGTATTGCTCCTTGATTATTTGTTGTTGCCTAGGAGTTAAAAAGAATCACCAAGTCCTGCTCTCTAGAGAGAGAAAGACAACTAGTGGTGATTTATTGGTGGTGATAACTTGAGGGTCATCACATTGTAGGGGAGGGGAAAGGCTGAAAAGGAGAGTCCTTCCTAGTAACATCAGCCAGTGCAGGAATTGAACCTACACTGGTGCCATTACAAACTAGCCATCCACCCAATGAGCTAAACTGACAGTTGACCCACTTTTCAAGCGGTTGCAAGTGAGGTCTTACTGACTGGGCAATGTTTTCCTGATTTTAGTTACTGGATTATGGGCTGTGCCCTATTCTGCCCAATATCCGCAGAGGCATTTGGGCTCAAAAGGGGTTGGCTAGTTACTGCTGCTCAGCTGAGTGGCTCGATGACTGTGTGAGACATCTCCCTCACCTCTCAGCTGTGCAGAAATGGCCATGTTCCCAATTTCATTGAGCAAGGAAGGTGTTACCGGATCAGTTTCTTGTTCTCTCCCTTCACTTCTCTTCAAATCTGCCGTCCTAACTCCTTTTTGTTCGACTGGCATAATCTCAGTTTTTGTAAAACCAGGTGGTAATCCTGAGTCATGCGAATATACAAGAGTACGTCACTTAGCCCCTCAAGCCTGTTCCCTCATTCAATAAGGTCATTGCTGATCTGATTTTAACCTCAACTCTACATCCCTGTGTATCCCCAAAAATCTCTCATCTCCTTGGTCATCAAGAATCTATCTTCCCCTGGCTTAAAAATATTTGAAGATTCTGCCTTTTCAGGGAGGGAATTCCAAAGACTCACTGTCCTCTGTGGGAAAACGAATTTCACTTTGTTTTTGCCATCTTTGTCATCTGTTGGATTCTTCAGATCCCGATAGAGCCTGTGAACCTCCACCAGCCTCTGCTGCACTTGAACTTGCATTAGAGGGTTGGGTTTGTCCAGCTTCTCTGGACCATATCATCAGGTCCGTTCTGACTCTCTTTGACTTTTACTCAGCTTTTCAATGCCTGGTATTTTCCACCTACTTTCTCGTCTGCATTTGGTGTTTGTGCTTTACTCTCTTCTTTTGAACTTTTACTTTCATCTCCAGGATCTTTTACTGAAAAGCATGTTCTTTCTCCACCAACAACCACTCCCTCTCAAAACTCCTTCTCTCTCTTTTTCCATGCTGATACTTTCCATGTCTTTCTCTCTCTCACTTTGCTGAAACTGTATCTCTGGTCTCCTCCTTTCCAGCTCTATCAGCCATTCCTTGGTTAGATTGGTTATCCTGGGGAGAGTACCCATTTAAGTTTTGACTCACCAATCTGCATGTGGATTGAGTTTAAAACGATCAAAAGCCATTTGGATTAAGTGAAAACTTTTCACCCTGCCACACACTTTCTCTGAGCTGCAACCTCCATCTTTCCTGGGTGTAGACAGACTATGGTTCTGCCTGTTAATTCTTCCTTTTCCACACAATCTTTGCTTTACAATTCACCATGTTGGTCTGTTATAAATATTTAGACAATTTGTTACAATTGTGTTTATTTCCCTTAAAGATAATTTCAGACACAGAATTTTCCCTTTTTGGCTTCCAATGGAGGTCATATAGTATCCTATTCAGACATTTTTTAAAAATTGGAATCTGCTCAGACTTTCAGGAACTCTAGTCAAAAATGTGGCTCTTTTTATTGTTCTGTCCTAGACTTGAAGCTCCAATTTCTGTCGCAGTGAAGAGGTGAGTGTAATTATTTTTACTGCACTCCTCTCCTGTGCATAACAGAGGGGGTTTTACATTTTTCTTGTTTTCTTTTCCCTTCTAAGATAAATTAGTTAGTGGTGTGCTTTCCCCAAACCCTGTTTATAGAATCCAATTTCAAAAATGACCCACAGAAAATTCTTTAAGGTTAATCTGAGAGCATTAAAACTGAGCAGGATCTATTACCGTACTGAAAAGAAAATCCCAGGGAAATGGTATGCATTGAGATCACACACACCTACAAACAAGAAAGAAAGAAAGAAAAGGAGAGAAATGACAAATTACAGATTAATTCAAATCAAAGATGTCAGTATTACTTCACGTGAATTAGAGAGGCTTGTAAGTCAATGTCCCGTGAAAGGTCTTCCAGTTGTCTGTGCACAGACATTGTTTCACAGGAGAACAGATGCAGGACAGCTACCTGGTGGAGGTGCAGGAATTGTAGGCTGGGAAATGATTCACTTCGTGGGCAAAATACAGGTTTCTTCTCAGAAACCAGACCACTGAAACATTTTCAGACCGGAGGGAGGTATTAGCTAAACCTGGAGCTGCTTACTCTTCTGATGTTACAAGCAGAGTGACAGAAGAAGTCAAACATTGCATGATCAGAGGTGATTGAAACAAACCAGCAGGTTCACTCATGCTGGGGCCTTGGGTTGAGACACTCAGCTAACCAGTTAATTTTAATATTCCCTCATCAGAAACTGTTGTGGTTCATAGCAGACAACTGTGGAGTCAAATAGCACCAAGTCAAGCAACAATGCTTTATGATGTGTCTCTTGTTGAGATCTGCCAGAGGTAAGAGTCTTGTCTAATATTCCTTTATGGTGACTTGGTTGGAATGTTCATACAATATAAAGAATGTTACATTCCACGAGGTGATACATTTCTCCTGGTAATTGCTGGAAGCAGTTAATTTGCTCACTGTGTTCAATAACAGCCCTTTTAAAATCCAGCAGGGGTCCCTGTTAAGAAGATTTAAGCAAATGAAGACAGTTTGTTTTTAAAACAAGATGTCTGTCTTCCTACCCTATTCTCTGGACATTAGTGTGCAGAGTCAGTTTTGTTTTGTGTTTTACCAAACGAAGTTTGAAAGCCAAATGCATTACATCCACTGGTTTTCCCTCTTCTATTGAGATGATGATATGCTCAAACAATTTCAGTTGATTTGGCAAATATGATTTCCCTTTTGTAAAGCCGGTTAACTGCATCTGAACCAACTTTCCTTTGGGTCTTTTTGTGGCTTAAAGAAATACAAATTTCTTGTAATTTATACACTTTATTCTATAAATGCTGGTCATTGTCTATGATTCATCTTCTAATACCATTTCCCAATCTATTTAATATATATTAATGATCTAGATATTGGTGTGCAGGGGGCAACTTCAAAGTTGGAAGATAATATTAAACTTGGAAGAATTGTAAACTATGCGGAGGAGAAGTTGGTGGAGTGGGCAGTTAGGTGGCAGATGAAGTTTAATGCAGAGAAGCATGAAGTGATGCATTTTTGTAGGAAGTACATGGAGAAACAATATAAAGGATGCAATTCGAAAGAGAGTGCAGGATCAGACAGACATTGATGTATATGTGCACAGATCATTGAAGGTGATAGGAGAGGCAGAGAGAGCATTTGAGAGAAGCATAAAGTGTTCTCAGCTTCATTAATAGGCACAAAGAGTACAAGAGTGAGGAGGCTATGCTGAACTTACAATGACACTTGTTAGAACTCAACTGTATGCAATTATGGGTGTCACATTATAGGGAGGATGTGACCCCATTGGAGAGAGTGCAGAAGTGGTTTATAAGGATGTTTCCAAGGATAAGAAATGTCAGTGATGAGGCTAGTTTGAGAAAGCTGTGACTGCTCGTCTTGGAGAGAAGAAGTTTGAGAGGAGTTTGACAAAGTTTTCAAAATCATGAGAAAGCTGGATAGATTGGATAAAGGAGAAACTGTTCCTGTTTGTAAAATGAACAAGAATGAGAGGGCATAGGTTTAAAGTGATTTGCAAAAGAAACAAGGTAAAGTGTGAAAACAATATTTTCACACAGCAAGTGGGTACGGTCTGGAATGTACTGTCTGGAAATGTGGTGGAGGCAGGTTCAACTCAGGCATTGAAGAGGAGCATTGAATACTTGTTTAAATAAAAACAATGGATTGTGTTCTGGGGAAAAGGCAATAGTACTAAGTTATGATGCCTATTTGGAGAGTCAGTGGAGATATGCCAGATGGAATGGTCTCTTCCCCTCCTCCACAACAATTCAGTAATTTGGTGGTTTTAGCCAACACTTGATTTACTTTGCTTTTGGATTCATGTCCTTTTCTAAGATACAACCAAGGCAGTCACACCACTGCCAGTGTGAGGGAGCGCTGCTCTGTCAGAGGCTCTGTCCCTGTGGGAGATGTTAAACTGTCTCTGCGCGCTCCTACTTTGCAAGAGAACCTGGGCCATTGCTTAGAAGAGGAATAAAGCTGTTGCCTTGATGGTCATCTATCTTTGTGCCAGCACGATCCAAACAGCCAGACCTGGTCACACTGCTCAGTGTGGGAGCTGGCTGTGGACAAATTGGCTGTTACATTCCTGCAATAGTTTAACAACAATCCCGGAGTAGTTTTTGAAAGCGCATTAGGAGCGAGGGAAAGTTGGATTCTAAGTAAAACCCTGTTTCACGTGTAACGTTAGAGCAGGATTGGAACGAGGAACATCAGAGATGGCACCGACAGAGCCTCAGTGACTGAATACTCTCTCTGTTTCTGTGGGTCTCTGCCCGTCAGCTCACTCACTCAGGGATCTGCTTCTGTGTCCACTGAGTGGTTAAAAAAACTTTTTACCTTTTCTCCCTAAACGATGCAATTGGAAGGAAACTGCAAGGGGGTTATTGTTGATTCATGTCAAACCAGGCAATTAATTCAAACTCTCTCTCTCGCTGCTTTCTTCCAGTCTACTCTCTGGTTTTGAAGCCACGCAGTACGTCAGTTGCCGGAGTTATTTGTGTGTTTTCTCTCTCTCTCTGAGACTAAGTAAACTTGCAGTGAGTTGCAGATTTCTTTTCGAAACGTAGATCCTGTAGGAGGAAACCGAGATCGGAAAAGCGGACGATTTCCGCCTCTCAGTGTAAGGCATAGAGAGAGAGAGAACGGGGCAGAGAGGGGGAATGTGAAAGGGGCCAGGGGGAGATTAACAACAGCCCGAGACAGCCCGGAATAGAGTCTAATGAACAGATAAGGAGCTCAAACCATCTCGCTGGAAGTCTAAACCTGCAGTAAGTCTGAAAAGAAAAGTTAACAAGTTTTTTTTAGGGGGGAGGTGTGAGCTAAAGTTGTAAAAGTTTCTGAAATATCCAGTTTTAGTTCAAGTTAAACCGATGAGATTTACAAAAGATTTAAATTCATTCATAAGGTATAGAGCGAGCAAGTTTCAGGCGGGTGAATACAGCTATCCTATGATCCCAGACTCAGGCTTTGTATCGAGTTTGGACAAGTTGCTCATTATCGAGTGGCGTATTGTACAGGGCACATTTAAAGGGAGGTTTTAACCAGCGGCTTGTAGCCTTCCTCAGTGTCCGTGTTCCGTTTACAGTTGCAGCAGATGTCTCAATGTCTCAGGAGAATCACCAGTGCTGCAGTTCCAAAGAACAGGAGCCATCGCCCACTCCACAAGAGACGCGATTGTCCCGGGATAGAGGTAAGGAGGGGATCGAGTGGCCGCACCGCGTTGGTGAGAGACAGAAATATAGGGGCTCAGGGTTAGAGAGAGAAATGAATCCATCATGTCAGAAACAGACATACAAGGTCAGAGAGAAACAGAAACACACAGAGTCAGAAACAAGAGATCAGGTTAGAGCGAGACAGATGTAGAGAAACCGAATGATTATCCCCGACAAAAAGACGCAATGTACATTGAGATACCAAACAGACAGGACACAATCAGGAACAGAGACTCAGACTCAACGAGGAACACTGATCCACATTTGTATGATACAGATATAAACAGCATAGGGACACTTTACTGAGAGACAGACTTATAGAACACACAGACAAATAGAACATGGCCAGACACACAATACTCAAAAGACAGAAGAATCATTGCCTAGCCAGTTGCATATTTCTGAATTTTTATGGTTTCAGCACATAATCTTCACATATACTCAATTTCAGAGATAACCTAATGGACATCTCTAGATGCAACAATGAACAAACTGAGCCAGCGCAGTGTGGAATAGACACACATCATTAACACATACATATTTGTGGAGCAACTGACAGATGCACAGGGCACAGCCCAAGATTACAACACACTTAGTCACAAAACATTCATCTGATTGTATCTTTTTGTATTTTTGAAGCTTCTGAAAATTGTACGTTTGAAAGGTTATTTATATTTCGTATGAAAAGTTGGATATTCTATCTGACAGAATAAGCATGAATTTAGGCATAATGATTGACAGAGATGTGGCCTTTCAGTGTTCACTGATCAGTTGTACTCTCATTCTTGAGTCAGAAGGTCGGGGATTCAACCTCCACTTCAGAGACTTGACGACATAACCCAGACCATTGTATTGTGCTGGGGTATGAGACAACATAGCAAGGCCTTGCCTGTGCTGCAAAACATCCCAAGGCACTAATATGAAAAAAACCAGGGTGGTTTTCCCATGTTATTGTCTGTTCAACTTCAGCAAAGCAGAAAAGGACAGAACTGAAGCTAAATCTCAATGCATTTTAAAAGATTTAATTTTCAGATACAGATTACAAACATGCACAAGGCCCATCATCCACAATTAGTACCCATTACATGAATACACCTAGCAAGATACAAATAAGACCAACAAATATCAATCCCTCAACAGACATCAAAAACAGATCATCTGTCCATTTTCTCCCTCCTGCACATTAAAGTTTGTTATGTGAAATTGGCCCCCATGTTTCGTATACATGTTTATAATATAGTTGCTGTTGTAATGTATTGATGGTAAAGCACTCTGTGATGTCCTGAGGTTGTGAAGGGAACAGTATATATACAAGCCATTACTTTCAAATCTAATATGCCATTTGTCTTTCTCATTGCTTTCTGTAACTGCATACTAACTTGCTGAACTTCTCACACAAGGACAGCCAAATACACCTGAGCACAAATATTTTATAGTCTTTCATGAAGCTACAGCATGGTGGTAATGACACTGGGACAGAAATTCAGAGCCTCAGGCTGGTGCTGTAAGGACATGGGCTTGAAACCCACCAATAATTGAATTAAATAAAAAAAACTGAAATAAAAACACAAGTCTGTCAAGCGTTGTAAAAATCAATTTGGCTTCCTCGTGTCTTTTCCAGGAAGGAAATCTTCTATTTTTCCCTGGTCTGGCCTACGTGCGACTCCAGCAGTATGGTTGACTCTTAATTGCCCTCTGGGCTATTAGGGATAGGTAGTAATGCTGGACAAGCCAGTGTGTCCATATCCCATGAATGAATAAACAAAAGTGAAAAACTATTCTGATTTTCCACCAAATTGAATAATCTCATACTTCTAAATACAAATCAGAAATATTTAATCAATTTGTCAACAAGCTCCTTCCCTAAAACTTCTGATCACTCAGACTTTCTAAGATTTCCTGAATGTCCTGTTAACACCCACTGTAATAAGGAATTCTGGAATTTTTCCAACAATTTAAGCCCAACTAACAGTCTCAAAGTTCCCTTTTCTTTTTTTCCTTTGTTTCCTGAATAGTAGTGATTTTTTTTCTATCTTCTAATCCACTGGGACTATTCTAAAATCTATGGAATTTGGAAGATACAAACAATGCACCCACTATCTCTGGTCCTGGGGATTTTTCAATCTTTTACTCCAATTAGTTTCACTGTACATTTTCCCTACTGGTAAATAATTACTTTTAAGTTTTCTCATTAGGTCCTTGGTTCCCAATAAGCCATGAACTGTCTTCTGCTTGTGGAGACAGACAAAATATTTGTTTTATGACTCTGTAATTCCTTTTGCCCTATTAGGGCAGCACGAAGGGCTCAGTGGTTAGCACCGCTGCCACACGGCGCCAGGGACCCACATTCGATTCCACCCTCAGGTGACTGTCTGAGCAGTGTTTGCATTTTCTCTCCGTACCTGCTCTGGTGTCCTCCCACAGTCCAAAAATGTGCAGGTTAGGGTGGATTGGCCATACTAAATTGTCCATAGTGTCCAGGGATATGCAGGCTAGGTGGGTTAGCCATGGGAAACGCAGGGTTACAGGGATAGGGTGGGTCTGGGTGAGATGATTTTAAAAGGTCAGTGTGGAGTTGATGGGCTGAATAGTCTGCTTCTGCACTATAGGGATTCTATGGTTGTATTATCATTTCTGTTGTCAAAGCCATGAAGAGACTAGCATTTCCTGTTGCTGTTCTTGACTTTTGTAATATTTGTTCAGCCTTTACTGGTTTCTAAGTTTATTGACATATTTGGGCTTTCTCCATTTCTTCACAATATTACAAGCCTTTTCTTTTAAACTTTGCTTCTTTAGTCAGCCATGGATTGGTTACTTTTCCCAGGGTGCTCTTGTTTCACCATGGAATATATTTTTGATAATTCTTAACAATTTCTTTTAATGTTTTGTAATGCTTATAGACAGTATGTCAGTTCAACAATTTCCCAATCAACCTTGTCTACTGCTAGCTACGTAATTGGCTTTATTTAAGTTGAAAATGCACATTTGCTGACTCAAGTGATTCTTAAACCTAATGTGCAATCCATCATATGATCACTACCATATAGGAACATTTACCTTGAGGTTATTAATTAACATTTTCGCATTACACAATACAAGGTTTAACATAACATCGTCAATAGTCCAAAAATGGAAGATACTGGAGAAACTCATCAATCTAACCACCACCCCTTGACGTTCAATGGTGTTACCATCACTGAATCCCGCCCTATCAACATCCTAGGAGTTATCATTGACCAGAGACTCAACTGGACTCACCACATAAACGCAATGGCTACAGGAGCAGGCCAAAGGCTAGGAATACTGCAGCAAGCAACTCACCTCCTGACTCACCGAAGACTGCCCACCAGCTACAAGGCACAAGTCAGGAGTGTGATGGAATACTCCCCACTTGCCTGGATGAGTGCAGCCCCAACAACACTCAAGAAGCTTGACACCATCCAGAACAAAGCAGCCGCTTGATTGGCACCACATCCACGAGTATCCACTCCCTCCACCACCAACGCTCAGTAGCAGCAGTGCGTACTATCTACAAGATGCACTGCAGAAATTCACCAAAGATCCTTAGATAGCATCATCCAAACCCACGACCCACTTCCATCTAGAAGGACAAGGGCAGCAGATACATGAGATCACCTCTACCTTCAAGTTCACCTCCATGCCACTCACCATCCTGACTTGGAAATATATAGCTGTTCTTTCAGTGTCACTGGGTCAAAATCCTGGAATTCTCTCCCTAATGGCATTGTGGGTCAACCCACAGCAGGTGGACTGCAGAGGTTCAAGAAGGCAGCTCACCACCACCTTCTCAAGAGCAACTAGGGATGGGCAAGAAATGCTGGCCAGCCAGCGATGCCCACATCTCACAAATGAATAGAAAAGAAAGGTCTGGCATCTCCAGTGGCGTGAGAAACAGAGTTAACATTTTGAGTTCAAAGATTTTCAAAGTTTTTGTTGACAAAGGAAGAGAAGGCACGAGTGGAACAGATGGTGAGGCTACTCAGGCTGAAAGAAAGTGCTAATCATGATAAAGGAACAATTGAGATGTATAATAGGTGTTAATGAGAGGTTTGAATAAGAGAAAAATAAGTCAGTTTTGCCCCCACACTCTCTGTTTTTATTTCAGATCTCCAGCATCCACAGTACTTTATTTTTATTTGACTCCTCACTGGCTTGTTTCACTGCATACTGTTTCAGGAAACTATCTTTATTGCATTCCACAAGCCTGTTTACCAGATTACAAAAACAGAATTTGCTGGAAAAGCTCATCAGGTCTGGCAGCATCTATGGAGAGAAATCAAAGTTAATACTTCAGGTCCGGTGACCCTTCCTCAGAACTGGTTTTCCAGATTATCTCTGCCAACTTGATTTGTTCAGACCATATGATGATTAAAACTTACATTATAATTGTATAAGTTGTTGTTTTTCTTGGTTTACGTTCTGTCCAATCATATAACTCCTGTTAGGCAACCTGCAATATATTTTGCTGACATTTTCTGACACTTGTTACCTCCACCCATATTGAGTCTACTTGCTGCTGTCTGAGCCAAGATCCTTTCTCATTATTATCCTGCAGTAACCATTATTATCAGGGCCACGTGATCTTTTCTCCATCTTGTCTGTCTTTTTGAAATGCCTTTTTAAGCTCCCAACCTCGCTCACCTTGCAGCCACTTCTGTGTGTTTCTTTTAAAATTCATTAATGGGCTGTGGATGTCAGAGGACAACTACAGTCAACCACATTGCTGTGGGTCTGGAGTCACATGTAGGCCAGACCAGGTAAGGGTGGCAGTTTCCTTCCCTAAAAGATATTAGTGAACGAGATACATTTTCCCCAACATAAAAACTGAAAGGCTGCGGATGCTGTAAATCAGAAACAAAAAATAGAAGTTGCTGGAAAAGCTCAGCAGGTCTGGCAGCATCTGTGAAGGAAAATCAGAGTTAATGTTTCCTCAGAACATTTTCCCCTACAATTGTTT